AGGGAGGTCAAAAAACTTATGTGGAGTGGTTCATCAGTATTACTCCAAATTTTGGCCTTTTCTTGGGGCAGAATAAATACTGGCAAGCTCCCAGTATGTGCACAATTTCTATAATCTAATGTGATTGTCACTGTTTTTTTCCTCTGATTTTTACTGCATGAGTGATGGAATTTCTTTTTAAGCTTCAAGTAAGTTGCACTTGTACAAACATTGTAGGCCATACTGAAGAAATGTTACTGGCCAGATGAGGAAAATCAGCTGTGATGGCTGCAGCGTGTCCTACAGTTCTCTGCTAGTGACTGATGGGTTTTATTCACTTGCATTGCAGGAGCACCTTGAAGGCCCCTGGGAGTGATTGTGCCGTTTCATCCAAACTGCAATTCTATGGAGGTCAAATCAAACTACATCACGTGAATGTGTAGCCCTTGATGCCTCAAGTTTAAAAGTAGAGAATCAAGTGAAGACAGCAATAAAGAAAAGGCAGCATGCATAAAGGGAAATTTGAACGGTAAGTTAATATATCACTCTATAAATAAAGACTGCATTTTATATGTGGATTATATGAGGCATCAAATATACTTTAACATTACACATTCTGTTGCTTCTTAACAAGGGATGTGAAGCAGTTGAATCTTTTCCTTGCTCTTACCAGCTACAATAAAAACGGCTTTATTAGTAGTTTTATTTGCTTTCAAATTGGGAGGATAAAAACTTACATCTAGCCAAGATATCCAGGCAACACATCATCTTACAGTACACAGCAAATTGCTTTCTGACTTTCGTCTTGTATGAAGGGAACTGAACAGAGGTAGTTACTCACCGAAATGTACACTGCTGCAAAGGCTGCCAGGGTGGCATGTTGAGAAGGGAATGACTTTCTGCCAAGGAAGGACAACCAAATTATGCTTCTCAGTTCAAATTCACTGTGCTAGAGCTCATTGAAAAAAACACTGGGTGGTACAGTAATTTTCATCTTACACTTCCTAAGCAATATGTGATCTATGAGTAACATTTAATTTCTAAATTTCTATTCTGGAGAAAGGACCAATGTTAATGAAATGCCTTTATTTTGAAGTAAATATTTACTGTGAAATTCTTTTTGTGTACCAAGTGTGTGTACTAAGAGAGCAGTGGGAACAAGGTACAAACTGCTTGCTTGATTCAGAGAAATATCTATAAATTTATTTCTTAAAGTAACTGTCCATAGAAGTACCTAAATATAAAAGTTATTAAATGCATGAACTTTGATCTTTTGATTATTCTCACTGACTTTACTTTGACTCTTTTCGAAGTAACACCTCATACACTTTGATAATCAGGCCCTAATTTCATGCAACTGCATTCATCACGGTCATGCCTCTGCTTTGTTGCTTTAATAATGGGGGGATGAGAGGGTGACGCTCTTCTCAGAGAGAGGCAAACTACATCTTTATTAGGTGTTGTCTTTAGGTTTATTTTTATAACATGACAGGAGTGAATGGAGCACAAGAACATGGAGAGGGTATTTTAAAAATAACTGTTTCCCTTCCTGATGCCAAGAACAAGAGGATCAATGAAAACATGTGCAAACTCTGTAAGACAGTAGGCAATATTAGATCTACTCTTGAAGTTGCTGAGGCTCTTCTGCTCCCACTGAAAACCTGGAGACTTTAATGATGTGGACTGGGTCTTGAGTCAGAAACTTCAGATATGAAAGTTAGAAAGTGACAGCTTAGCTTCTACTTCTCTGACAAGAAAAGGAGGGTTTGTGTAAGCAGAAGCTGAGAGAACCATCACATGAGCCTAACATTTTAACATTATTCTTATAGACCCATTTCAATCCTCTAAAAACAACTGAAGAAAAGTGATGGGAACACGAAGGAGAGATTTTCATGCAGTAGAGGGAAAAAAAGCTGGAGGTGGATTCAGTAACGCTGTTGTACGGTGGACATCTAGATCATAGCTTGTAGAAACCCTAAAAAACTTCTGTGACCTCTGAGCTCTAGGTGCAGTGAGGATGCATAGCCATTTATATCTGTACATTTATCTCCTTAAAATGGTATGGACATGCTGGCTGTCTTGGTGAAGAAGTCACAGCAGCAACTTTCACCCGAGAAAGCTCAGCTTGAGATAAACACTTGAACAATTATTTGGCTTCAGAGATGGGTCTTGCTACCCTAACTGGGCTCCATGTGCAGCCATTTTCCCAGCAACATCTGAGTTAGCTAGTTTAAAATAGCAAAGACTGAAATACAGCCCTTTAACTTTAAACAAAGACATTACTTTCTGCAAAGCAGTAGTCTACTTTCTGAATTTCTTTCCTATGCGTTTTGCCTTGTCTGTTCTACATAATTAATTGGCAGTCAAAGATGTGCATGCAGTTCAGTATGAATGCTGCACTGCTGACCTGAATTTGAGCCCATGGCTCCAGCCGATTCATGACTCTGGCCAAGATGAAATCTGCAGGGTTCCTTTTTTATTTCTAGAGACGGACCTAAATTCTTCCTTTTTTTTCCTCCCTGAACAAACCTTTCACAAATTGTATCCCTTGGGAACAAGTTCAGGGTTGAGGACCGAATAGAGACATGAAAATAAAGTAAATGTTTATAATAGCTAATCAACTCCTTTACTCTGTGCAGGTTTTAGTGAAGTATAAATCTACTTACAGTCTCTGTGGAGCTAATGTGTAGATTTGATTCTATGAACTTTAGTACCACTCAGAACTTAACCTTAACTTGATGGTATTTTTATGGATATAAGGTGTGTCAGGGCAACCATAGACCAAATGCACTCTCTGAACTCTCTAATGGTGTCACTGCTTTTGTTCCTCTATTTGTTATCTTTAAAATGAAAATAATTCAAGCTAAAAGTATGTAGCTTTTTTGTATGGTTCTGTATTGAAAAGGTGAACAAAGGTCTCAAAGAAAACATGTCCTGAACTCAGATGACAGTGTATCACTCTAATGCTCATGCATGAGGATGGGGAGAGGGAGAACAAGGCAGAGAAAGAGTCATACTGAGCGAAGAGTCATACTGAGTCAGAACATCAGAAATGACAGAGGATAGAGACCTCACTGGAGATCTGAATAGAAATGACTGAAAAGGTTCTTTGAAGATAAATAGAGAGAAAGATGGACAATAGGGACCACTGGATATTTGAGGATGTTGTAGAGAAATGATTTCATGTAATCAGCTGGATAATTATGTGTTCTTCTCTATACTTTTCCTAGGGTAGTCTAGAGGCAAATTTCTGGAGCCAAAGTTTCTGGGAAGTACAAATGAAAAATGAAGGCCATTAGGAATCTCAGAACAAGTCCCTTACAAACTCAGACTACTGAAGTCAAATTAACCTCAAGGACTGTAGAATTTATACTATAATTCTTATAGTAGATGCTATACATATTAATAATTGTATAGGAAATTGTCTCCTTTGAAGGAGGGAAAATATATGCCCAGTGTTAGATTAATATCTTTAAAAAGAAAATTGAACATCACTAAAAAGACATTTATGCACTCACCTTTGTTATAAAAAACTGACAAACTCATTCAGACTTTAACTAGAAAAAAAAATCTTGAAATTGGGACAGAAAAAATTAAAAAAAAAAAAAAAAGAATACTTAAAAATGTAGATAATAAAAGATAGAACCAACCTTCCAGCATTGATAATATTGAGATCAGTTCCTGAGCAAATATCTTCCACAACATATGAATTCTCTGCGCAGGATACATTTAAGGATGTATAGTTAGGCTTGCAAACAGTCAAGAAATATGGTGCCTGATATCCTGTTGATAGCTGTATAATATCAGTAACAAGAGCAGTTGCACAAAGACCAAACACATGAACACCTAGGAAAGAAATCAACACAGCTTGTTAACTTTATTATGTGCATTAATTAGATTTATTAATTGTGCAAAATGCATTCAACAGAACTCTGTTGGCTTGTGTCACTACACTTGAATTTAACTCAAGAATAAGAGGGTTTTTTTATGAAAGCTTGTTGCAGAGTTGAATTCTTTAATATAAAAAATACGATAATTTATGCTTGCTTTCTTCCTGTTGATACTTAGTATTTTGTTTTGATGGCTTGATGTCCTCCAACATCCTTTCATAAAAGTGAACTACACTGGAGCTGCTTCAATTTGGAAAGAAGTTTTCTGAACTTACTAAAGGATAGCCAACTATTTGAGGAGAGCACGTGTGCTCATCCAGTCCTTGTACTTTCCCACTGGAATATGAGCTTTGAATAACATGGACAGCTGCCCATCAGATCATTGCTCAGAAGACCTGTTCTCTTTTTATCACCACAGAATCCCTAGCTGGTGATAACTACCTTCACACCTCTGATATTTTCTGAGTGATGTGTCCTTGCCACTATTCCAAATATTTAAGTCTATTTCATCAGTGTTTCTGTCTGATTAATAATGGCAAATTCACAAGGCAATTGAAGTGATGCAATTGCTTTCCTGAACATTTTCAAATGCATTTCTCCTAAAGATCTTCCCAGAATTCCCTACTTGTGTTCATATAGATAAATCTGGTTTTCATCCTAAAATTGAAAGAATGTTATAGTCATTAAAATGTGAAAGAATCTTCTAATTCAGATTATGAATCAGGAATGAAATTCATGTGTCTTTGAACTTGTCTTTTTGGTGAAGGAATACCAAACAGGAGAAGTGGACACGGGGTATCCTTGCTCATGTTGGAATGTACCAACCCTCTGCTTGCTTCCTCACTGCTGCTCTCAAGAGGGTGCTTTGCTGGTCACAGACTGTATAGCCTTGCCTGCCACTACCTTACTGCTTGCACGACTACAGAAACCCAGTGAAGAGCTGTCCTACCAGGTTTTCAGGCTGCCCTCTCTAATGAATTTCTGAAACAGAGTAAACCTTTCCTTTAGCCTCTCATCAGTACAGGGAATTAACTGTAAGAAGGGAATCAAAGTCCAGTTGCTATTTCAAGTACAGTTCCTCATTAATGACAATTAAAACCAAGTAAAACAAACCAATCTAACATGTTCCTCTATCATTTAAGTTGCCAGATTCCAGCCCTTTTTGAGAGGAAGATAAACACATTCCAGAAAAAGAATGTCAAACCTACTGAGTTTCTGACAAGTTTTCACTGTCAGGCTGAATACTGTGACAGGTGGGTTGAATCCTTATGATGCCCTGAAGACAGGCAGGGGAAACTATACACTGAAATCATTAAAAGGCAGCACGTTCAAGGTGGGCAGGGAAGGAAAAGCAAATTATTCTTTTAGAAATACTGACAGTAGTACAGGAGAGAAAAGGGAAAACAGAGAGTGTAGATGCTGCATTATTGAGTACAGGGCTGCATCTTCTGAAGAAGATGTATGCCCGTGACAGTTCTGTTCTGAAAGGCTGCTTCAGAGAAGGAAACCTGCATGGTGAAAATTAAATGTATGTGGAAAGGTCTACTTTGTGACTAACATCTGAAACCCACCAACAAATCTGACAGCTCTTCTAAGAAAAGAATTGAAGTTGCATCCTCCTGCATTTATATTGGCCTCTGTTCCAATCCCATTTCTTCTTTTGGACAGGCAACAGTAGAGAATTCCTTCTCCTATCATTATCTGCAATGACAAAGGAGCCATTAAATTAAAAGTAGCACTTACTCAGAAGATCCTGATTGAATTTAAAGGGCTGAAATATAACTGTAGCACAACCAATGTCATCCCTTTAAAAGACTTGTATCAATATGTGAACATAAAGCAATGCAACTCAGCCTGAGTGAGGGCAGGCAAGGAGGTGGCCTGAAATTAAATGCAAATAGCATTCAGTATATTGTGCTCAGTGGTTCCAGGCCTTGATCTACAGCTGAAGCTTAATGCTTCTACAATAAAAAAGCAATAATCGTAAAATCTCACCTCTAAAATAATCCAGAGCCACTGCAATATCCTAGTGCTCCTGAGGTGGTTTTAGCATTCAGTCTTGGCTGCAAGCCTAGCAATCCCTAGCAGCTTCTAATTACATGACAGCCTGCTCTTCTGAACTTGTTTAATTTGGCTAGGGTTTTAACCAGATCCACAGCAGCAGAAAAAGTTCTGTCCTTATGGTCCCTCTGACCACACCAAGCAAAGCAGATTATGACCAAAGTCCTAGGCAACAGTTTATAAAGGGAACAATATGAATGAAAAATGGCATTACTTGCTGGAAAATCCAGACTTATTTACACATTTGGAGTCTCAGATTTTATTGTTTACCTTGTTCAATAGCACAACAACTTGGAAATCTGTACAGGGTTTGTACAAAGTTCAGAATGAGGGCTGGATTGAAATATTGAAATTAATGAGGCAGTTCTCACCACTAACAGGAGGTTCAGCTTGCCTAGCCACAGCTGCATTGAAAACTAATACGTGCAATGCACAAAGCTTACAATGCAATGAGATGCCAAAGCATCTGAATTATGCTGAATCTGCTGTAATTACCAGTGAAGTTTGTCCACACTAACACCCCTCACCCAAGGAGAAGGGAGGTAAAATGGACAAGCTTAGTCTAACTCTATTTTTAGCTAAAGTTTTAATAAACTGAAATTTCTTTGCCAGAAAAACTGAAGTATTGAAAGTTGTCTTATGACATTGAAAAGTCAATGGTAAGGGTTTTTCAAGGAATTCTAATTAGCTGAGAACTATGTTCACTATTATCTGTCTACACTGGATCAATTTAGATCTGAAACTTCCCAGAGAAATTAGCAGCACTTCAGACTTAAAAGCCTGATACATTCTAATAGTTTTTATCCAAGCTTTAGTGAATGTCTGGTACAGGGAAAACAGCAGACAGATGTATTAGCTTGTGTGATAGAGGAAACAAGTGGGAAACTACAAGGCCCATGCCAAGGAAAATTCAGTGGCTGGTATTTCCAAAGAAACAAACTCCTCCAATCGAGGAGACAGTAGGACTGAAACTGCCAGCAGTGAATTCCTCTTGCATGAATTGATTTCCCAGATTAATGTGATCTAATTTCCTGATGATCTCTGTTAGAAAAGACCTTTAAGCAGGTTTTTTATCAGTGGCTGATAGAGAGTTTCAACCTACATTGATACCATTAAATAACTGGTCCTAACATTTCTGAGTGAATAACTAGAGAGAAAATCTGTCAGAGGATCATATTCAGAGTTCTTTGAAGCAAATGGCAGTCATGTTGCAATTCAGGTATATCTATATTCCAGACTTAAAACATCCATCTTGGTAATTTCTTCAAGTCCAGTTGTTCCACACTGAAGTCTCCTGTGGTTTGTGAATACATATACAAAATTTAATCTATGCCACAAACTATAAGACATATGTCAATAATACAGGTAGTTATTTTTTCTAACCCTTCAGGGCTACAGAAAAGGCCTGTTTAAAAGCATTTGCTACTCACTAATAATGAGCTAAAAAGCCCAAAGGAAAAAGCCACAACATAAAGCCCCAAAGCCACACAAATCTTTCTGTAATAATGACTTGGAAAAATAAATTATAGAATGTTAGATTTTTTTTTAATAAAAAATTAATTAAAGTGAATGAGTTTATATATGGGAAAAATTATTATATCAACAACAATAATACAGAAAAAATTACTTCCAATTTTAATATTTATATACGGCTATAAGGAGGGACTGAGACTGGAATTTGCTTGTCTTCTTCCTCACACAGAATTTTTTTTCCCCTTATTTACACTCTTTGATAATATTTTAAATGTGGCTTAATCACACCTGTATTTTATTGAGTCTTGATGACCTCCTGCAGTATCTAAAGTGTAGACACAGACTTGGATATACTGGGGATCCTCAATTTCTTACATAGCTCATGCTTTCTTTTCTATATTTTACATGTTTTATAAAGTGTACAATAATTGAAATGTTAATGAAAACTCATTTACAAAATGCTAAACTCTGTAAGATGATAATGGCACAACCGTAATTTTTTTTCACTGAGCTTCACTGGCCTATTTCTCTAAAGAAAAAGGGACCAATTGGACAAAAAAATCTCAGAGTTTTTTACTTCAGGTTTTTTACTTTGAATAATAAGGAGCTAATGCCTTCATGCCTTTATTGAAGGAAGTTGTGTATTTTGCACTGTCACTCCCCAGTCTTCAACTAATACATGCATTGCATTCAAGCTCACACCAGTATTAATGAATTACACCTTCCTAAGGCCTTCAGCTTTTAGCCAGTTCTACTTTGAAGCTTCTGGATTTATTTTATTTAACAAACTTTTTTTTTTTTTAATAGACGTGCTCAAGTGTGGGTTTGAGTTCCTTCCTCACATGGCATGTTTTTGGTCAATTTTCCATGCTGCTGGTAGAATGATTCAAGCAAGAGTGACATTTTCTATTGCAAAACTTCATGCAACGCTGAAATAATTTAGCTGTAATCACAGCCCTTAATGAAATGGGCATCTTTTATCTTGATTTAAGGTGTTTGATATGACCTAGGCTTGACATAAACTGTCCGAAGTAAAAATCAGATTTTACCCCTCTGCTATGGCCCAAATGAGCGTAGAGAGATTCCTTCTGTAGCTGTTTGAGAAAAGTCCACTTTGCTGTTAACAGAAACGCTGCCTAACCTTAAGAAATCCAGCCAAACCGCAATACCGAAGTTTTGTTTTGATCACAGTATTTGGTGTTTGCAGCACTCATTTGCACCAGGATCACAGAGAGTCTTAGCTCCAAGTTCCTAAATGAGTGCAATTTTTAGCTTGCTGCTTGTATAGAATCCTTCGAAAATGATTTCTAAAGCACAGAAATCAAACGGAGTAAGAACAGCTCAGTTTAAAAAAAAAAAAAAAAAGACAAATAAAGAAAAAACATTCTGGAAAGCAAAGAGAGAACAGCACTTGATGATTTTTATACAGGCATCACCTTTTATAGAATTTTTTAACTGAAAATTGGATAGTATTATAAAAGAAAAGAACTAGTTGAATGTAAGGGAATTCAGAGAAGCTGGCAGCAGAGATACATTTGCGGCTGGCCTTTGAGAAGTACCTATCTGAGATGCGTAGTCACTGCTGTCAGGGGAGAGAAGAGATCCTTTCAAATGGTTGATTCAGCTTTTTAGGTGCATGGAATCACCCACTCAAGGTGAATTTCTCTCTTCATTTGCCAGACAGGAGTGGTGTGAGAATAAGCTTCCTGTCTGAACTGCTAAAAGCAGACAAAATGAATCCTTCTTTTATATATATATATATATATATATATATATGGCTCATATAATATAGGACATTTCTATTCTGCTGGAATCATCTCCTCCCTTTGGGTGAATGGTTAAATGGCCCCTTTTTGCCTCCTTTTAATGACTAACTTGCAATTTAGGAGTGTTCCAGTGTTATTCAGGAAAATGGAGTTGAGTTCACTGACAAGACTGATATACCTTCTTATCAAATAAAGCTAGTTCTAACAAAAGTGGCAAATTCAGGGCTATTTCCAACAAAATCTTGAATTTTTTGTATCTCAGAGTATGGAGATGTCCTGTCTATTAAGTTCAAGTATTTACAGAGTGTAACGGAGTGATTCAAGCTATTCTCACCCAACTATAGATGCCCACAATCAGAATAGTGAATAAAATTAATATTAATGCCCACAATCAGAATAGTGAAAGTAGATGAAGTGCTACAGGGGGTGTTTTAAGGAGTGTGTCTCCTTTTGCTACAGAAGAATGAAAGACAAATTTTAAATCCTAAGGTAATTAGCCTGGATGAGAGTCTGCAGCTTAACCAAAACCAAAGCAGCTATTTTCTTTATGCCAACTGAAACTGTTCGAAATCCTTATTAAGTGACAGTGGCACCTCAAACTTACCGTAATTGATGGTCCAGCAAAAACCAGACTAAGTAACATCAAGAAGGGAACAGACTCTTGTGTAGGTTCAATGTATGGCATACTCAGACTCTTGTCATAGCAATTAAATCCAGAGTGAACTGGCTTGAAGACATCGGTAAGTTCAAGAAAATAAAGGCTAACAACAGAAGATGCCAATATGGGCAACTAGAAGAGAAGAAAGCAACAAATTACTGTTTGGAAATGGAATAGCAATGCTTTTGCAAAGACAACACAGTATGTTAATAAATCTCTGTGATGCTTGCTATTTACATCTCACTGCTTCCTGTCATATCCATTTTATTATCTTTAAATAATTAATTCTCTAGAGATATTATACTGTTCAGTTGATATCAATAAGCATGTCTTCTACCAAGCTAGTCAAAACACCCAGTCCAATCTTCAGCACACATAATTTATCTTTTTCATCTATGAATCACTAATAGACAAACTTTGATTTTAATTTTTTTTGAAAAAGGAAGTACCAGGACTGAAATCTCCCATGTGGGGCCTCAGCATTCTGCTGTTCATCAATCACTCTTTTTAGTCCTTGAGCAACTCTGTGTCATGTGTATGACAGTCATTACATCAAAGCCAGTTTGCATTAAGTTTCAAAGTAATAGTTAATGAAAACCAGTATCCAGTGCTTCCCTAGAATCTAAATACGTGATAAAATAGCTTTCTGCCTTTGCACATCCATTTTGCAATTCTATCAAAAAAGCAATTAACTTTGGCAAGACTCAGTCTGTTTGGAACCATGACGACTATGGTCTTTTATCCTCTTGCTATTTAGTGATTTTACCCTTCGTAATTACTTCCAGTAATTTATTAAGAGCAGAGTTGGCCCTTCTGGGGACAAATTCACCCCTGCTTGCCACCAGCTCCAGAAAGCACAGATTCAACCAGTAAGTCTCTGTTGAAGGAAGTAATTCGAGAGAAATAGCAAAAAGACATTTTAAAGCCATTGGTTTGTAAGTGAACAGAGATGGCAGCCCTGCCCTGAGGGTGGGTGTTGGGGCATACAGAGGTGACCAGCAGGAAATGATTATTTTCTGTATCCTCTTAGTAAATGCTCAGAAATACATTTTGTTTATTATTTTCCAGAGTCCTCCCTGAATAAGGCAACACTAGAAGAACCTCCTGCTCCTCCACGAAGATGCAATGACTCCTTCCCAGTGTTTCTACTGCAATGAAGGTACCTATGGTTATGAGAAATTAGGATTATTATGAGAATTAAGGATGGACGTAACATAATTTCAGGCATACTTAGATCATATTGTTCTTGCAATGTTCAGTTCACATTTACAAAAGTAACCAATTAATTAAAATCAAAGTTATTCATCCCATTCTACAATACAATAAAAAAAGCAGAAGTAAAATGGGATCGATATGTGTTTCAGAAAAATGATTAATAAAATCTGCTCTACATGGCGGAGGGACAATGGTTTCTTGCATTAAGTGGCACAGATTTTGAAGCATTTAAGTATTTTAAAATGTAGGCTTTTTTTGCATAAAATGTAACTGAGTGATTAAAGAAGGAGGGTTCTAGCTAAATTTAACTGAAACATCTTTTAATATGACTTAGTTTTTGTTTAAAAGAACAGCTTATCTTTGATGTGCTGAAGGACACATTTAAAGAGGGTAAGTTGTGTATTCAAAGCGTTCCAAGCAAAATCTGAAGAAGGTGGAGAATGGAAGAATTTTGCTTGTCTGGTTATCTATGTGCAAGTTGACTGCATTGTCATGTCACGTAGTATAGAGGCTGTGGTTGCACAGAAAGAGGAAATGTGTATTGGCATCCTTAAGTGCTGTGAGCATTATAAAAATAACACCAGGATCTAGGAAGTTTGCTTCAGTAAGTAGTGTGTGTATATATATATAACCCAAACATGTATGTATCTATTTTCATTCATAATACTGTATTACACATACACACTTTGTATAGCATATAACATACACAATATGTAACACACGTTATGTGAATACATAACTATTACATAATCTGACATAAATATGTATGAAATAATTATTGAGTCCTTCTTCCTGCCCACCATATGAAGAAGTCCAGCTCCATAGCTGGATGCATTATATAATACTGCTCCTCATTTCCTGCTGGATGCAGCCCCTGATTGACCATAAAGCAAGCATACATGATTACTCAACATGGGCTAGACTGATTCCAGTCACTATACAGATGTGCATGAGGGAAGAGAACTTCCCTAAACTCTCAGATCCTGGGTGCCCTTCTCTCAACACCTGCCAGCACAGAGACTATGGATCTGGCTGGGATAAGTGTCCTCCTGAAGGAAGGCTGCCACAGTGCACGCTGTCCTGGTGTGCAGGGAGCTCACACTGAGTCTCTGCTGCTCTTGCTTGGACACTGAAATTCTGCACAGCATTTGAACTCGCACACACTGCAACTTCCCTTTCGCACCATATTTAACTCTTGAAGCATTTGCAACGTCTTTTATCACTAAGTATTTGAAAGTCATAACTAATGACTTAGCCAGGGTCCATGCCCCGTGGGGCAAAGCATCTTAGAACAGAACACAAACATTCCACTCAACTAAATGGACAAAACAGGCAGGGTGCCTGTTGCCCTTCTTTTCAGAAATTACGCTCTTTTATCAGGATGTCCCCACAGGTTCATTTCCTAGAATGGAAACACAGAGCAGGCACACTCATGAACACCTTGCCTTCAGAGTTTCACCTTAAGTGTGTATTTTTCCATTTCTCCTATATCAGGAAAGGGAGTCTTTCTTTGAGCAATAGGCTATGCATTACCCACAAGTCCAACTCCACTTTTATCATGGGATTCTTAGGAAGGCAATTGTTTTAAATGGCAATATTCAACTATCAAAAATAGGTGATATGTGAAGTGGCATTTTATTGTGAGACACTAAAATAAAAGATGTGGATAACTTCTCTCTAAACTACTGTATGTAAGCTATAATTTTATTATTAATTACAAAATCAAGGAATTGTAAGAATTGCATTTTACTGTCTTATGACTTCACTACAGGACTCCCATATTATTTCTGACTATAATTACCCACTCTGCTAAAAGAAAAGAAATAATTTTAAAGGACTATGAGTCTCCAACGTAACTACTTACAATACTAATGAATAGGTTTGTAGTCAATTTGCTATATGCAGTATGTCAGATCCCACAGGACATTTTTCTTCCAATCTTTTTAAAAACACAAATATTAAATGCATCTTCTTAAAGTCTAACATTTCTTAAGCAAAAATAAATCTTTCTAAAATCTTCTGAACAGTATAACTGGCTATTTAATATATGAATATTTATGAAGTGTTCTGCTTAAGGCAGTAGTATTTCTGTAATTATAGACTTCAACTCCCAACACCTTGAAAATGTCAAATATAATTAGATGGTAGAATGTGTATTGTTTTAATTACAAAATGGAAGAGGAATTTTCCTGTTCCTAATTAGAATAAAAAAACCCCCAACATCAACTCACATATTTTAACTAATAATTCTTTATACTCTTCCTTGGTTGGCTAATGGAGAAAGATCCCTGTTTATCTTGTACTTTACATCTGTAAATGTAGAATTTGACTCAAATGGTCAAACTCTGTTTGGATTAGAGCCTTGAACCATAAGCAGCATAGCTGCTGGAAAAGTTTGATTTATGGTCTTTTTTTTTTTTTAATTTTTTTTTTCTTTTTCCTCCTGCTGTTTTCTTAAACTGTAAGTTAAAAGCCTTTATTAAGCTATAGGACTTTGCTATTAATAATAATTACGTTATTAATATTTTAAAAGCTTTTGCTGTATTGATCTAGGAATTGTCCAAGCATGACAAAAGATGTTCTCTGTTCCCAAGAGTTCAACTAGGATGTAAATACCCAGAGATCTTGTAAGGAGAAAACCTCTTGTATGCTAACACAGTGAAGGAAAAACCAAAACAGTAATGTTGGATGACTGTTCTTTGTTCTCTTTGTTACCCCTTAAATCAGTTTTGCTGGCTGCAGTTCTGCATTTCTTTATCTGATTACTGGGTGAGTTGTTTATAACCTTGAGGTCTCCAGTACCAGTATATGCCCCATCTCTTATCCTACATCTGCAACTGCACCACACTGCACACTCTGTAATGCAGGAATACAGGCCTGGTATGACAGCAGAGGTCTTGCAAATGGGTCACTGGAAGGTCAAGCCTTAGTATGAAAATCTTATTGGAGTGCATGGGACCTGGGAAGCCCTGGCTTCTATAAATTCTGTTTCTCCAAAACTGTACGCTGCTAGTTATATATCTAACTCTTGTATTTCTAAGCACTTAACTAAGCAAAGAGTCCCTATTTATCTTCAGGAGAGTAACATCTTAAAACTCATGGGCTTTGTGAGAGTTCAACCATGGAAGGTCACATACTCAAATGTCTGAACCTGTTTTGTATATTGCAGTTCTGTGACCTTTGCTTTATTAAATGCATAGACAGACATTATCTCTTATTGTGAACTAAAATACAGATCATGTGGCGATGTTGCATTGTGTTGGTGTGTTATGATCCGGTTATTAAAATTATAGGAGAGATGCCTCTGCCCAAATTAAGGTGCAAATGAGACCATATGGATCTTTATTTAACAGTAAAGTGAGATAGAGAGAGAGAGAAAGAAACGGGAAAAGAGAGGGGGAGACAGAAAGAGAGTGACAGAGAGACAGATTAAGTGGAAAAAACATCACTGCTCCATGGATTCCAACGGCGTCCCATTGGTCGTCTTCTTGTTGTCTTCTTGGTGGTCAGAGTCCCAGTTCTGTCAAAGTGATGACTGCAGTCTGGATCCACACAGGGAAGCCCACAAAACAGAGTTCATAGGGGTGTCATTTAGGCTCGGTAGAAATGCCCCCAGTACCTCCCCTGGGGCAGAGGAGTTTTACTCTGGATGATTTAATACCAGATGATGGGACATTGCAGGAGTCTTTCATACCTTCTAAGATGCCACAGTTGCCTGTTACATCAGCACAGCTGAATCCATTATTGCCCACTGGCAGAGATGGATACCTTGAGGCTATCTGTGAAGGTCCTGGTATGAGGAGAGTTATCACAGTCAGTTATCAGAGTCATTTGTGTAAGGACAAAGAAACACTATCCCGCCTCACAGGATGTGCCTCTTTCCTCATCTTGTTCAACACCCAGCTTGTAGCCTGAGGTGGTGAGTTTGCATGCTCTCAGCACCTGGGTGGTTACTTTGCACCTTGACTGTTTGACCCATCAGCATTCCAGTCTCTCACACTTGTGATACCTTCTTCTTCTGCAATAACTGGACAATAATAACACTTTTATCTTATCTCAAAGTCCTGTCACAGTACAAAGAGTGGACATATTTTGGGGAAGGGCGGGCTTTGGTGAGCAGTTGCGCCTTTGCACAGTTTGCTACTGTGGACAAAAGTCAGTTATTTTAAAAATCTTTAAGCCATTAACCATTTCAATCTCATCCATGGTGGCTACCAGTAGACACTCTTTCAATATGGATTACAAAAGTAAAAAGAAGCTTGGCCCACATTTCAGTCAGAATAAATAGGGGGAAAAATTAAATGCCTCTCTTGTAACGATAGCTGAATATTTAGGTCGCTGCTCAATGACTTGAGTGATTTTCCTTGAGACCAGATGCAAATACAGAGGCTGTGGAATTGATTAGTTTTACCTGCCTGTATAAAAGGGTGGCAGAAAAGAGAGAAGTAGCACTTATGTAGCTTTCAGAGAAGTCAAGACATGATTTGCCAGATGTAGAATAAAGAAGTACGACTAGCCCACCTGTCAAAAAAAGAGTTAAGGGATACCTAATACACTATTTGGATGATTCATATTGTGTAAATAATTTTCAGACTAGGGTGGCCAGGAAATCCTCAGATCCTCAGGTTGTTCTGCAACTCGTTCACAGCAAGCAAGGGGTTCCCGAGCATGGGAACCGTCTCCTGATGTTTCTCTTGTTTTCTGGGAGATAGGTAATGAATGCCATTGGTTTCCCATAATGAAAAGAATACCAGCCAAAAGTCTTTGGGAGAAGGATGGTGTATTTAATAACTATGTCGAGTTCCCATGGCAAGGCTGTGGTATTGTGGAAGATTTTATTAAATTTATCATTGATGTTAGTCCTTGTGCCAAAGAATTCATGGTCTAAATGACAGGGCACAACAGATGGATGAGATAAGAAAGAGGGCTGTGATGGGTTGGAGG